ATATTATCATCTCTTCATTCCTGCCCAACAGGTCTGATATTAATATTCAGAGAACCAACGTACACATAAAAACCGTGTGTACGCCTCTCTTCCAGAAATGAAATCTATAAAATTGTTCTCCACTGAATGGTTTCAGCTCTATATATATCATGTTTGATCATCATTCACTGCACACCAGAACTCTCAACTGCGTGATTGTTTATATGAAGAATCAAAGCATGTACAAGCTCATGTGAAGCTGCTGGAGTCAGTGTCTGTACACACAGTTCACACACACACCAGCTCAGGCGAGCGCAGGAGTGTGTTCAGGCGAGCGCTCCTTTGGCCCTCCAGTCCTGCGCCAGCACGTGCATCAGCTCCTCCTCCTCCTCCTCCTCGTCGTCCTCTTCCTCTCCGCCGGCCAGCCTCGCCTCGTCTCTCTGCAGTCTCGCTCGGCTCAGCGCGCTCTTCACCAGCTCCTGTCTGGCTCTCAGGACCTCCACGCGCCGGAAGCACAGCATCTGCTGGTCGATCTCGTGGATCTGCCGCTCCAGCCGCCCCTCCTCGTCGTCTTCGGCCACGATGGCGTCGGACGCGCTGTTGACCTGCCGCATCTCCTTCTGGAACTCTTCCCACTCGCGGTCCATGTGGTCGCGGGGCGTGTCCACGTTACGCACCTTGGCGTCGCGCACCGGGTCGTCGAAGAAACCCTCGGGTAGAGCTTCGGCCGGGCCGTCCTTCCTCTCCTCGCCTCCGTCCTCGGCCTGAGACACAGAGCCGGAGTGAGACTCGGAGACGGCCTGAGACTCGGACACGGAGCCGGAGTGAGACACGGAGACGCTGCTGCTGTCGAAGAAGTCCGCGGGGAGCCCGGCGTTCGGGACCGGCTCTCCAGCTGGAGCTGCACTGCTGCCCTCTTCCTCACCATCATCATCGTATTGTCCAGCGAGGAGCACGAGACCTGCAGACTGACCTGAAGATACGGACGTCCGCTCCTGCTGTCCTGCACCTGCACACACACACAAGCACAGGTTATTTACTGAACATCAGTCTGACACACACACGGGTTATTCACCTCAAGACCTGAACATCAGTCTGAACCAGGGGTGAGTTTGTATGGCAGAATGAAAGATCATAGGCAGAAACCACAGTAGGGTCACACAGAGCCGGTTTCTGAGCGGACTGCTGCTTCCATGTACATCTAATGAGTGATTATAATCAAGGTATTAATCAATATTTTTCCTTCTAAATATCAAATAGGTTGAATGACTTCTACAACCAAGTAAAATCTCATAAGCCTAGAGAAGTTACCAATGTGATTACTGAAATGTTTTTTTCATGCATTCAGTAATGTCTGTATTTGATATGAGAGGTGACTGAAGGGTCTGGGCCATGCTAGGAATACAGTAATAGTGCTTGCTCATTTAGCCCGGATTCCAGAGATGAAATGTGGACTTGTTTTGTTGAGAAAGTTCTTCAACGTGTGAAAACACATATCTGTTCTTCTAGCTCACCATGACGACTGTAGTTCACAAGGATCATTGGACCCAATAGTTTAAGTGACCATTCCTTAGTTAAAGTCTTTACTGTTAGATTAAGTGTCCTCTCATTGAGAGAAAGAACATGTTATCTTAATGTTTTGAAGAGACTCCTGTTAATAGTTAGAGCCTGGCCAAATCCAACCTCGAAGAAGCTGTGTGTCAGTGTGTGTGTTAGTATTCTTGGTTACAGGTTAAGGATCAAGTGGCATTATTGGAGATGGACTGACTTGTTTTCTTCGACATGTTGGCGACTGTTTATGTGTGTAAATTTACTATATTTATCTAGTTCTTAGCCAATAAGAAACTGCAACCTGAAGCAAGGACGTAGCTTAGACCTTAGTGTAGGATTTAATTGCTGTGATCTAGCAGCCTATGAACTCCTTGTGAGTCTTGAAAATGACTTCTGACTGATGAAACTGCAAACGATCTTCAGTAAAACTTTTCTCTAATTTAATATAATTCTGACTCTTATCTTAAATTGACTCCACTTCTAACTCCTTGTCTTAATTAATCATATCCTTTCATATCCTGGTCCCTGTGTCTTTAACTGTAAATGGTGGAGAATTCACGGGCAATTATTCTTCTGTGACATCCCTGGCTAATCAAGAAACTAGGTAGTAAGATTTTATTATTTTCATAGGCCTGTCTGGGTGGAAGAGGTTGATTGAAGGGAGACTAATAACGCTTGACACTCTTGAGCAGGAGCAGGAAGAGCCTGTGGTGATTACGTCACGAAGACAGGCCGTGCTATAACCACGAGGAAGTTGGAAGTTGGACACTTGAGTGGGAGCACGAAAGCCTAACACAGGCCGTGCTGGAGGTGTAGGCGCCCACTAGCAGTGTAGTTTGTAGAGTGTACGCGATTGGTGTAGGCCTAAACAATTCTAAGTGTATCTTCGCGAACCTGACTCTCGATCTCTCCCATTTCGGATAGGGGTTCCCGGAACTCAGTGATTCAGACAGGTAGGGATTTAGGTACATACATTAAACAAAAATAGGGTTGTTTGCCAGGGATGCATCAGGAACGATCCCGAGAAAAAAAAAATGTGTGAACCAAATTGGTCGTGGACCAGTATATGTAACTGTGATTTTAAGTATACTTTGCAGTTTCATCACGCAGAAGCCAAGCTGTGTTGTTCAAAGATGGCCGCCTCTGCAATAACTTCAGGTGAGTTTGAACCGTGAGGAAGATATGGCAGACAAATTGAGTAACTTGATCAGTAACCCGATCAGTCCTGATACGCATTAGGGGCTTTCGCACCGGAGGAACTTTTTCATAGTTCCTAGAACTGTTGGCTGAAGTTCCCGGGTTTCGGCATGATTGCACCGCAGGAACTGGGAGCGATATTAGCTCTAGGATCTCGTTTTTGGAGGAACTATTTTACTATCCGTGACGTTAGTGTTCGCTGATTGGCTGAACATACGTGAAACACCAGCACCCGCCATGTTTAAAAAAGCACACAGATTATAGCCTATATATTTACTCCAGAAACGAACTATACGAACATGTAAAACAGTGATAGATGGAGCTCTTAATCTTTACGCTGAGGAGAAACTCCAACACAGCTTTGAGGAGACCGAGAGAAACATGATTATGTATTTCTGCGCAGCAACACTGGACATCAACATACGGCCTACGCTAATAACTGTTCATTACTGTCTACTTTCTATGTATAGCAGTCCTAATAACGTATTTGACAGGACTGTAAGACTGATCGTAAACGAATGAACAGGAGAATGTGAGCACTGTGAGCTCAGGCTCTGGCGTTCTCAGCGCCGTCACAATAAACGTCACAACATCAAACACGTCTTACATCACTTCAGAGTTCCTACTGGCGGAGCGAACGCAACCAGGAGAACGATCTTACGGGAACCGTTAGTTCTCGGGGACCCACCCTGATGGCCCGTTCCTAGAACTAGCCGGTGCGAAAGCCCCTATAGTGAGACGGAAGAGAGCAAACGCTGTAAGCAGCTCTGCTCTGAAACCCTCACTTCAGAGAAATATGCTTAAGACAATGGGTAATCAGGGTTTTGATTCCGATTGGCAAATTAAACAACAACTTGACTGTCTACAAACAAAGAACCAGAAAAATAAAAAAAATTAGCCTCGTACAATGACTACAAAAAGCAAGTACTGGAAATTCTGTGTTGGGGATCATTTCCCTGGACAAGTGTGACTAAAGTTAAACAGAAACTTTGTGAAAACCCCTTAGAATATGTTGAGCGTTACTGCGCAGCTTATGAAAATGAATGTGCTGCCAATGATAATGATGAAGATTATGATTCGGCTATTGTGATAAATAATAGTATTTGTCAAAGGAATAGAGATAACTGCTTATCAGTGGCTCTGTTAGCATTCCTGATTGGGACACACTGTTCAAGGGTGTGCAGTGAGTGGAGCTCACAGTGATTAACTATAGGCAAGGTGTGTGCTGCTGTAGGTGAGGCTGACACGCGAGCCACCAGATGACCGAGTGTTTTAACTGTGGTCAGCGGGGCCATTTAACACGCAACTGCAAACGCCCACGAGAAGCTGTTTAAAAATGTGATAAAGTAAAATAATTTTCAGGGATTAATGTAGGTTTGAAAGCAGATTAGTGTTTAATTTGATGATATTACATTTTTCGTCTGAGAAAGAACAAAAAAAAGAAAAGGTCAAAAGATCCAAGTGTTAAGGAATCCTTTCGAATCCTTTTCTATAATAATAATTTGTGTGAATGTTTAAGTGAACGGATAATACAGGTTGATGTAAAATTACAGACCATGACTCCAACTAATGTTGCAAAAATATATACAAATTATGTTATATATATATATATATATAAACGCATGTCATTTCTGACAAAGATGTCTAAAGCTGGGCTAGGGTCAAAAGACAGTAGATAAAGTCTGAAACGTTGATGTAAATGCAGTGTACCAGTCCTCTGGTGTGCTCTGACATGCTGACGGACAGACACTGGCGCTGGTTAATGTGTTTGAGATGTAGTGCTTTCCTCAGCACATAACTGCATTTCACAGGTATATTCTTCATCTGTACTCGCGCAAATATCCATTTTGCTGTCAGGAGTAAATCTCCGCTAAACTTGCCAGAACGTTTCTGAGCCCAATGAAGATAAAGATGTGTTCTGGTGACTGGCGTGTTTATTGAAGTATGCCTCATCAGCCCTGTGAAGGCCTCATCGACACGACAGCCATCGGCACTGATCCTCAACAACTCGTCTCCATACCGGCGTGATTACTTCGACTTCCAACCAGATGGAAATGGATAAATACTCTAAATGTTCCGATCCAATCTGACCTGTAACGCTGCCCGAATCACACACTGTTCCCCCGTTGGTCAGAGGAGAACTGGCCCCCGACTGAGTCTGGGTTCTCCCAAGGTTTATTCTCCATTCTGTCACTGATGGAGTTTGGGTTCCTCCACTGTTGCCTTGGCTTTTGGCTTGCTTAGTTGGGGACATTTAATATTCAACAATATTATTGATCTGCCTTACTTAAGGTGGATGATGACGCAATTTTCTTCTAGAAACAAACTTTGTTATATTGTTTTCATGTTTATCTCTGTAAAGCTGCTTTGATACAATCTGTTTTGTAAAAAGCGCTATATAAATAAAGGTGACTTGACTTGACTATTGAACCAATCAGATCAGAGTAAATCGAGTGTCAGCGAGAAGCTCATCTGATTGGCTACATGATGAAGGTGGACCCACCCTCCTTTTTGCGCTTGCAAAACTCAGTGAGTGAGAGAATCGTGCCAAAACTGGAAGCGCAGGTGAAAGAGAGACGCAACTACAAATCGGGTTATTATTTCGGGAACTTGTTGCCCAATGCACACAACAAGTCATTTAGACATTTGCAACAGTCTATTTTTTTACACAAAGTTTGATTTTACGCAATTCATCTGTTTTGCTGTTCCTGCCTCTGTTGTTTTCACTTGCAGATTGCCGTTCACAGGCCTGCAGTGCTTTCGGCCGCATTTGTGCACAAAAACCGTGGCAAAAGAGTAAGCGCGGAAAAATGAAAGTCAGAAGAATACAGATCCTATTTATTTTGCTTAGCATGAAGCTGCAGCTTAAAAATACATGAATTACACTTACGAATAACAGTTAAATGCTGCAAATATTGTTTTCTTACACTTGAAAGGCGATTTACACTTTTACAAATCTTCTCTTGCGCATGCAAATTTAATTTACGCTTGCAATCTTATGTACAATTTCACAAATCTTACCCTGCACATGCCATTCTTTATGGCATCATATTACCTTCATAGTTTAGACAATTCAGAGCCACCGAATGACGAATTTGAAAAAAACGGCAACGCAAACGAAACCTTCGGACTCAGTGTGCAAGGACCTTTGGGCTAGTAGCTTCTGATGTCATAACCTTTTTATTAATGATGGTGTTTATGATGTGATGATGATGATGGTGGTGTTGTTGTGATGGTGTTGTTGTGATGGTGTTG